GCAGTAATGATGCTGAAAATACAGCTGCGCATCACAGAAATACATTATATTTTAAATAGAAACCATTATTTTATATTGTAATAACATTTTGCAAGATTACTGTTTTTTTCTGTATTTTTGATCAAATAAATGCAGCCTTGATGAGCAGAAGAGACTTCTTTAAAAACCATTACAAGTCTGTATATATATAGTCAAGGTATGTATTCACTAAGAAGAATTTACATGCACCAACATAACAGTTCATATGAATTAATTCATTGTTTCAGAGTAATCAACCGATTCAGATTCATTTAAAAAGTTTGAACTGATTCAAAGAATCGCAGGATGTCCGTTAGACTGGAAGACTGAAATGAAGGAGTTTGAATCTATTTGTGAATGAAGGGAAGCCAGTTCTGAATTGTGCAGGATGCAGACGCAGACGTTGTGTTATTGGCTGTGTTGCTGTATGTTCGTACCTCCTCTCTTCTTCCAGTAGATGTGGACCTGCAGCTGTCTGTCCTGATAATACGGCGTACCGACCTCCAGAGCGCCGGCGGCTCGCTTCATGGACACCAAACCCAGCTCAGGAGCCTTAGATACAGCCTCTAAATCAACACGTCACACACGAAACAGATATAAACAACCAGCGACACAAAGCTGAGTTCCACTTGTACTGTTTATGTGGACATATAGAAACAAATCCACTCAGAAACTACTAGAAAAGAAGCACGTAACACTGAATTAAAGTGACATTTTGAACTAGTATTTTCTTTAAACACAACTATATTATTGTTCTATTAAGGCTGCGCAATATATTACAAATTTAAAATTAACATTCAAAACTGCTAGACTTGTTGTAATATTCTAATTTTTTCTGTATTTTTGATCAAATAAATGCAGCCTTGATGAGCAGAAGAGACTTCTTTAAAAACCATTACAAGTCTGTATATATATAGTCAAGGTATGTATTCACTAAGAAGAATTTACATGCACCAACATAACAGTTCATATGAATTAATTCATTGTTTCAGAGTAATCAACCGATTCAGATTCATTTAAAAAGTTTGAACTGATTCAAAGAATCGCAGGATGTCCGTTAGACTGGAAGACTGAAATGAAGGAGTTTGAATCTATTTGTGAATGAAGGGAAGCCAGTTCTGAATTGTGCAGGATGCAGACGCAGACGTTGTGTTATTGGCTGTGTTGCTGTATGTTCGTACCTCCTCTCTTCTTCCAGTAGATGTGGACCTGCAGCTGTCTGTCCTGATAATACGGCGTACCGACCTCCAGAGCGCCGGCGGCTCGCTTCATGGACACCAAACCCAGCTCAGGAGCCTTAGATACAGCCTCTAAATCAACACGTCACACACGAAACAGATATAAACAACCAGCGACACAAAGCTGAGTTCCACTTGTACTGTTTATGTGGACATATAGAAACAAATCCACTCAACAAAAACACAACTATATTATTGTTCTATTAAGGCTGCGCAATATATTACAAATTTAAAATTAACATTCAAAACTGCTAGACTTGTTGTAATATTCTAAACTGGTAAAATATGTTTGAATCATTTCTGTGAATCAGTTCAAAGTTTAAAATGAATCAGTTCATAACGCTGACTCAATCAATCGATTCATATGAACTGTTATTTTGGTGCATGTAAATTAATGTGATTTAATATGATTCTTCTTTATGTTTATTTAGTGAAAGACATACCTTGATTATTTGAACTAGATTTTTACTTTACTATAATTTAATTATTATAATTAGTTCATTATTATAATTATTATTATTATTTACTAGAATATTGTTTTAATATTTGTGTATATTGTTATTTGTACTATAATTTAATGATTATAATAAATTAATCAGAATTATATATTATTTAACTATAATTATATTAAGTATTTACTATATATATATATGTATCTATTATATTTGTCTTTTTATTTTTTAAATGTCATTTTCATGAAAATACATTCATATATTATTATTTTTATTAATTGCATAATTGTATTATATATTACAATGTGCATTAGTATTCTATATTCTTGATATATGGTTGCGGTGAGCTGGTTCGCACTTGTCTGGTTGTGGAGTTGCGTGTTGAACTGGACAGAGGCTCTGGCGCTCTTCAGTCGAATCTGGCCCCAGTATGAGATGGCCTGGACCTCCACACTGTAGCTGCTGTTTGCCTGAAGACCTTCCAGATCCACCGAGCTTCTGGCCTGAAACAGCAGAAGAAACCGGTCTCTACACCTTCACCTTCACTTCATCAACCAACTCAACCATCAAAACCACATCAAACCACATTTCCCATCGCCTGCGTAAAATACAATTAAATTCCCCAAAACATATTTATTTGATCAGTTTATTTGTTATATATTGTGTTAAATACTTAATATGACATACATTTAATATTTAATATATTTGACACATTTGTGACCCTGCCTGTGAAAACCCAGCTAAAGTCATTTTTTGTGATTTACTGTTTTCTACATAAAATCATCCTTCATAAAGATGTAGAACATTCTGTGAAAATATAACCTTTATATCTTTAATATTGACTGAGTAAGGCCATGTCAACGATTTAAATCATAGTGAAATTAATGGTTGAAATCAAACTTTGATGCTTGTTATCTCATAATTAGATTTTGAGACTTTAGCCTGGATTTCACAGACAGGGTCACATTTGTGATATTTAGTGTATATTTGACATTTAGCATAAATCTGACATATGATATTGAATGCAATTATGATATTTTATGACATTTAATTTGTAATATATTTGACATATCTAATATATAATTTTTCAATATTTAATCATTCTGACAGGCAATGCATAATTTATTTGACGTATATTTAATACATAATATATTGAACACATTTATTATTATATATTATATATTTATATTTATATATGCATTTCTCATATCTGACCTATTTAATACATAATTTATTTGAGATTTAATATTATTATTTTTCACGTTTAATATATAATTTATATCTAATCTATAAAATATTTGGCATATTTAATATTTCTGATAGTTAATGCACAACACATTTGCCATGTATTTAATAATATAATATATCTGAAATTTGTCATACATTTAATACATAATATATTTAACATACATTTAGATATTTATATTTATATAAACATCTAACATATCTGACACATTTAGTATATTTGATATTTAAGATATAAAACATTTTACATGTTTAATACATAATAAATCTGATATATATTTATTATATAAAATTCTCGACATATATTTAATATATAACATTTCTGACATTTAACATATCTGACGCACATTTAACATAATATACTTGAGATATAATATATATTTGACATACATTTAATATATAATATGTGAAATTTGATATATATATATCTGACATACATTTAATACATAATATAATTACCATGCATTTATATATTTATATTTATGTATACATATAATATTTCTAACACTGTTAATATATACACTTAAGATATTAAGTATTTGGCATGTTTAATATAGTATATATATATATATATATATATATATACACACATATATTTAATATATAATATATCTGAGATATAATATATTTGACGTTTAATATATAAAAAATATATATTTTCTATATTTTATGTCTGAAATATTTGACATTTTATACTGTATGTATTTGACATATTGCAAGTGACATGTCAAATATATAACTAAATATATAACAGATACAATTCATAGCAGTACATTTACAAATTGATTGATTTTTGTGAATAATCTAGACAAGAATGTGAATTTCTTGTGAACTTCTCTTATTTATTTATAGCTGATTTACAGAGTAACTCCATGAAGAATCTCCCAGCAGTCTTTGCTCTTAAAGGGACGTGATGTATTGTTAAAAGCGCTATATAAATAAAGGTGACTTGACTTGATGTGCTGCTGATTCTGGAAGTGCGTTCAGACCTCAGAGTGACCACTGAAGTCCAAACAAGCACGGGCTGTATATTAGGAACACATGTGGACACGACGAGCGTTTCTCAGCTGATCAAGCTCCTGCATTCCTCCAGCAGCGTGAGCTCGGTTAGATTGAGTTATTGAGTTAGTGAGCGGGTTAGTTTGGGCATTCCAGCAGCAGCGGGTCACTAACCAAACCCTGCGATCGAGTGTCAGACGTTATCTACACAGTCGCCCTTACGACCCTTACGACATATCACACCCAAAAATGTTGTTTTTCATTCTGTTTCTTTACATTTGATACTTCATTGGAATGGTACGAAACTTGCTGGCTTTTGTGGCATTTGCTTTATGAACTCAGCCAAGATGTGTGGATATGATTAGAAAAGGCAAAATGGCCTTAAAAACGCTTGTGATCTTTGCAGTCAAAAATGAGCACCATAATGCAATTTTTGGGGTGCAATCTATAAATCAGCTATGATAAAGTAGTTTTTGATCATGTCATATGCAAATGCAAAACCTAATAAAAGTAGTAATTATGTCTGAAAATACTTATGCACAAATATATATATATATACATATATATAATGTTGTATGTTATATATGGTTATGTGTGTGTGTGTGTGTATATATATATAATATTATTTACATATATACTTACAAAAATGCAAAAAAAATGCAAAAAAATAAAATAAATAAATATATATATATATATATACATACACCGTATATATAGCAGTATTAATCCAAAATAATTTGCAATATATATTTATATATATATATTATTTATACATTATATACATGTATGCATGTATATAATGTAATGTAGCTGCTGGATATAAATAATATATACAAAAATATACATACATACATACACACACATATATATATATATATATATTGCATATTACTTTCAATTTATACAGTGTGTGATGTAAATATTATATATATACACAGTGGCTATAAATCTAATTAACTGAAAATTATATATACAAATATAAAATGTATACAAAAAATATTGCATACTATTTTCAATTAATAGTGTATGTGATGTAACTATTATATACACAGTGGCTAAAAACTGATTTAATTGATAATAATATGCAATATTTTTTGTATCTTTTTTGCAGTATTTGCCATGTAGCCACTAGATATATATACATATAAATTGAAAATAACATGCAGTTTTGTAATGTTTGCAAAATGTTACGCTCGTCTTCGTTCCAGGAACAGTGAAGGGTTAATCGTGTTCAGAGTCTTGCACTGAATGGCGTCTGACTGCTTGTGTAAATGCACAGTTGTGTAAATAAACTCAGGTCGACTAAAGATGTAATGAAAGGCCTGCATCTGCGTCTCTCTGTGTGTCGGTGTGATTTGTGAAAGCGGCTCTCACCCCGTCGCTGGTCTTCCTCCTCCTCCTCCAGGACAGCATGGCTGATTTCCCCGGGACCGTCCAGCTCCAGTAGATCTTGTAGAGATGGACGGGAACGTCGGGCTCCGCGGGAAGAGTCCAGCTGATCCGGACAGTCAGCAGGCTGCCGGGTCCCATCGTGATGTGAGTCGCTCTCAGTCCAGACGGAGCGGGAGGAGGAGACGGGTCTGCAGACAGAGAACATCAGCGGACACTCGGATGATTCCTGTGGGATTTCCACGAATCATATAGAAAACAGTGGCCAAGATAGTCATTAAAATATACAGAAGAAATAAAGTCATACAGGTTTGATTGAGTTCATTTTTATGTAAACTAGAGGTCGACCGATATGGGTTTTTCTCTGGCTGATGCCGGTGCCGATATTTAGAAATCAGGGCAGCCGATATATGATGCCGATTTTTGGCCGATATGTTTGGCCAATTTTCTTTTCTTTTTCCCCCCTTCATCTCATAAAAGATAGTTTGAGTGTTTATTGCAATTAAATGTTTATTGCAAGGTACAAGATAGTAATAGTAGTAGCCTAATTCATAGTAATAATACATGGCTCAAAACTTAAGCACCTTCTCAAAATTGTTCTGAAGCATGCTTTTTGTTTATGTTTGCTGACAAACACCAGCGTTTCCCACAGACTTGCAAATGCAAATTGATTCTCTGCCATCAGGAGGCGCTGTTGAAGCGGGAAATATAGCTGTTTCCCCGGTAACGGCTGTAATCAAATAAGCGCTACTTTATCAGGCATTACAGGAAAGACGAAATGAAAATGACATCGAGTTTTTCTGAAAACGGTCGGTTCTTTTCAAAGATGCATTCATATAAAAACACCTGCGCTTTTGATTTTGAAACGTGCAATGCCAAAGTCCCTTTAAGACAAGTCATGTCACTCGGCAGCCATCTTTGAAATGCCTCTCGGGCATGCAAGTGCAGCTCCTATCTCTTTGAATGG